TGTGCGCTCTGAGTTAGCTTAACCTTAGCCACCTGCTAGATAGCTTACAGGCTAGCAGGTTAAATTTAAGCCTTTTGACGATCCTGTTCCAATATGAAAGATGTCAATGAAAACTAGTCAGTTTTGTCAATACTTCCCACCTGTGTGTAACAATAATTCCTAATGATATTTTTAATTTATTGAACATTAAAGACGAGGTGGAGCTGGAAGTGGATGGTCCACATATGAATCTTACACATCAACAACATTACATTTCACGTTTTAAACACAATAAAAAAATATTTTAGACTATTTTAAGGTTCTTTTTTGTTTGAGAGAAAAATGAAATCAATGTTTTCAAGACCTGCTGATACAATGCGAACTCATGTACACATATTTTCAACTAAAATGATAATGAAATGTTTTTCTAGTTAATTATGAAACAAACTGTCGCAATGTGGGAGACAACTTTAAACCAACCAACCAGAATGACGTGAAGAAGAAACTTTTCCAACCACTAAATATTTCACACATTCATATTACAGTTTTTTGTTTTTTTTGTTTTTTTGGTTTTGTGTGTATGTATGTGTGTGTGTGTGTGTATGTATGTGTGTGTGTGTGTGTGTGTGTGTGTGTATGTGTGTGTGTGTGTGTGTGTGTGTGTGTTATCTTTCTGTGGCTTCCTGTAACATGAAGTTCTGAGCTCTGATTTCCTGGCCGTTGGGCACTCAGACAGGATGCAGGGCGTAAGACGGACTAATAAACTACCAGGGTTTATCATTAGCTACTGAAGAGCTCTTTTCACACACACACACACACACACACACACACACACACACACACACACACACACACACACACACACACACATACATACATGAACACAAGAATGTGAATTATCACATTGGGCACAAGTATCATCATTTCCACTCGGTTTGAAGTTAAAAAGCGGAGCAGTCTCACACACACAGGTCGAGATGTTCTTTCCAGATGAAAGGAAACAGAGACAATGACTATTGTCTCGTTTTAGAAACTACTCATTAATTTCCATGAAATTAAAACTGGACAGAGTTAAAAGAAGACTAGACTAAGGCTGAGTCCCAAATCCATGCAACGTACTCATCCCATACAGTATGTGCTAAATAATAATCATCATAGTTTACTGTTTGAGCAGCGAGTGTAAAAATATCAAAATGTATTTTGTATTGACGGAAAATTTAAAATTACACATGATGTTAAAAAATCTACTGACAGTTCAATTTCGCAAAGGAGATTTCTTGGTTCTGTTGCACCGTCGCCGAACAATGTATTTTATTTAATGTATTTTACATCCGTTGACGGCTTCTCTATTTTCTTTCTGTATTGAATTGAACATTTACAAATAACCCCAACCCTAAAACCAAGTCTTAACCCTCAAACAACCATTTAAAATAGCACACACACACGCACACACACACACACACACACACACACACACACACACACACACACACGTGCACAAACAAATTATTTCTCTCCAGACACACACCCTGAGAAAGGTTGTTTGCTTTCCTGTTTTCGCCAGTCTTTACCCAATGTGAGAACACAAACACCCCCCCACCCACCCACCCCCCCTACCCACACACACACACACACACACACACACACACACACACACACACACACGTACACAAATACCTACGTAAGTGTACCTCCGTTCTTGGAAGATATCTTAAAAAATACCTCCACCCTTCCACAGAAGGGTTGAGAGGTTACGTTATATTTGTGTGTGTGTGTGTGTGTGTGTGTGTGTGTGTGTCTGATATTTGAGTTAGCATCTCAGGAACAAGAAGTGGCACAGCGTTGACTTCCTGGTTGGTCCAGCTTGGCACAGGTTCTGTCATGAGCCCAGAATAGAACAGACTGTGACCCCCCCAGGGCTGAGAAACACGCATGGGAAGCCTAAGTTTAGACCTGGGCTGCGGGTCTGAGCGCTGCTGCATTTGTCGCCACTTTGAGTCCAGGAACTAGAGTCTATCAGTAGGTACCCACTTTTTAAAAAAGAGTTTAGGTTGTGGGGTGAGATTAGCTTCAGCAAAAGGCTAAATATAATGCCATGCTAGCCTGGTTCCTGAACAATAATCACCGTCCACGTCTCAAATCGGAGCATTTGAATTTAAATAACGGTGTGTTAAACAGTGTTTCCCTGCTCGGAAACAACTGAACCAGCTTTTGTGTAAGTTAAGTCACTTTTACGCGGGTCAAATAACGAGCTAAGACCCGCTAACATCAGGCATGTAACTAGCATTCACTTACAACACAACACCTGGGCGGTCACGCTACTTTTTGCGCCTTTTCGTCTTTCAGAGCTCAAACAACGTAAACACGCCTGTCACCTGTCCAGCACATGCCGTTAAAGGACCCCTCAGTTTTTAACATTGTTAACATGTCCATACAAAGTTTTTTTTTTAATGTAATACATGACATATCACGAGCGAAATAAGCGGTCAGCACCATGACTGAGCATTTCCACCTTTGAACAAATGGCGGTCTCGTAAAAAAAACGGATTCAAACAGCCGCGGGTTCATACGTAATATAACCTTCGTAGACCGCATCCTCCAATGGATGCAGCCCCTGAACCGGGACACAGCTCATAAATCAGCAGCGCCTCCCTGACACAGGTCAACAATGAACTTGTTGTCTATTATTACAGATGTATCTTCCACTAACGGGACAGCTTTATCACTTATTTATTTAGTCAAGTGTCTCGATCCAGAACAAGGAACTTGTCACTGTTAAGAGGACAATGCGAGGCTGCTGTGTGTGTGACTGTGTCCAGGCTATAATTAGCAGAGGACAGGGTAGCAGGGTTGCCAGTTTTTATTTTTGGGGTTTGACAAAGAACAACACTTAAGAGTTCCAATAACAACGCTTTGACCGGAAATCCTGCCCTCGGCAAACAAACACAAGCACATGTTGTCACATTTAATCACATACACACATGCTTCATTAAACTTTCTATATATTATCAGTCGTAACGTCTTCTCTTTTTCTTGCTCGTCAAATCTCCGCATGGTCCATTCATTCAGTTGTTCAAGACCAGCCTCATTACAGATATGAATTCCTCCGGATGTGTTTTCTCCAAAAAAAAGCTTAAAGGCTCTCAGTGTGTTGCAATTTGTCAGAAAAGTTTACGTTGCAACAGTCACAGAGAAAGTTCATTGCTCTCTCTGTATTTAGCTTAATGTGGATTTATTAGTATTTTCAGATCTGTGTTTTATTTTAGAGAAAGTAAAATGTATATTTACAACATTTATTTGCACAAAATTTAACTAACAGTTAAATTGGTTAAATATTTCTTTATCACACACGCATACTCTCTCTGTCTTTTCCCTCCCCTCCCACAGCTTCCTTGTCTGATTATTATCATCTCTAATTACTATAAATGGACATGGTATCTGTGTTTCAGGAGGGGAGGAAACTCTCTCTCTCTCTTTCTTTCTCGCTTTCTCTGCTCTAAATTCCTGAAGTTGTTGCAACTCAGAGACGCAAACAACCTCAAGAGCAGAAATCTGTCTTTTTTTATTTCCACAAATGATCCTTCAGCTTCTCCGAGACAATTATCAGTCTATGACTTAAATATATTCGAGGAGATGTCTTGTAATAATGTGACATTTACGTCAATCTGCCTTGTCTACTTTAAGCTTTAAGTCCCTTCTCTGATGCACAGACGTGGATCTATGAAGAGGACTCTGCTAATTTAAGATCGGGGTCGTTTACAGTTTGATTGAAGAAGAGTGCTCTGAGAGGAAAGTTGCAGAGTCACAGAAATTAAATGACTCCCATGTGTTTCACTGTAAGAGTGAATTATGATGTAGACCAGAGTCATTAAGACTGACACAAGAAAAGAAGACAGGAAAAATGTGGGAAGATTAAAACCTCTTTAGGAGCCTGTTGCGAAATTTTTTATTGTTGTTTCCTTATTTTCTTAAACTCAGAAACCAATCAGTAATCTAGAGCTGAAATCATTAGTTGATATCAATTAGCTGATTTAGCTGATTGATTAGAAAACTGACTTACAGTTTTGGTAATTTATTAATCATTAAAGTCATTTTTAAAGCACCAGCTTCTCAAATATGAAGATTTCCCACTTTCCTACGACAATTTGAATATGTAAACTTGAGCTTCAGGGAATAATGATGGTTATTTAATAGTTTTCTGTGTGTTAATTGCGTGAAACACAGACACACAACTTTACAACGACAACTGGGCTTAAAACCCTCTCGAAGATCAGCGCCACAAGATGTAGAATAAACGACGAATCAAACTTGATACTGACTTTAAATTTGCGATAAATTTGCAAAAAAATGCAATAAATGGAAATTCATCCGTGCTAGAGAATCAGCTGCTGGTTGTTGTTTTAGACCATGAGAGACTCATGTTCTTTAACCTGTGCTGTCTTCACCTAAGCCTTGATTCTAGGATTAAGAGTGGAATCTGGTTTAAGTTGAGGTCGGGGTAAGAAGGTTCCCACAAGTAACACGAGCTTGTGTGTGATGGCACCAGGAAACCATGTTCGGACAAAGGCAGGAAGTTAAGAGCAGAGCTCACCTTATTAAGGAGGCAGACACTGACTCGTGGAAAGTACAACAACAAACCCATGGAAAAACAGAGAGCTGCTGAGGCCAGGTAGCCAGGTCACTTCCACCTCAGTTAATTTGTTTACTCTGAGGCAACTTTCCGCCATCTATACTCTCTAACACACACACACTGAGACTTTAATCTTGGACTTGAACAAATAAATTATAACTCAGTAATCTCTGCAGGGATTGTGCCACCTACATTAGTGTTCTCCAAGATTTTGAAGTCAACCACATGTTGTTAAAATGTCAGTTCATTTAAAGCATAATTATGAGCACATCAGCCTCCAACTTCAACTCTAATCTGAGTTGATATCAGGAATTTCTGACACTCTGCCAGCTTGTTGGCAGACTGGCTGCAAATGCACCACCATCGTCATTCACGTCACTATTTCCCTCCAGGAGCTGGTGGAGACCAAAACCGGAGCTATTGGAGAAGAAATATTGGATTTACATTCACCTCGTGGGCAGAAACAGGACTCAAGATAAATGATAATGTTCCTATGTGACTGTTAGACGTGTAAGTAACTGTCCCTTTTTAAGGTGAATACGTTGTTTTCATAACTTGTTTCCGCTGCCCCCAAGTGGCCAAAAACAAATCTGCCATTGTAGGTTTAAAGATTTGAATTTAGTTGAGACTTAAAAATAAACCCCTGATGAAATCCTGGAACAAAAACATAAGACAGCTACAGGACGGTTGACTTACAGCTCGACTCCCAGTTTGAATATAAAGATGACAGACAGGCTCGAGACTTGCTCTGCTCTTAATTTTACTTTGTATTCTCTACAACAACACCTGAGTTTCCTGTACCACATTGCTTTGTATCGTCTTTTACCAATCAAGTGTATCTCCCATGATCCCCTTACCTCTGAAGGTGACACTAGCCAGGGGGTCAGAGTGTCTCAGGTTGTTGGCCCGCTGAAGAACGCAACGCAACATGGCAGAAATCTCAGCTGAGTCCAAAGCCTGAATCCCGCGGGGGCTAAAATAACTTGCTCAGGTGATTCTGTTTCACCAGGTGAGATCCAGGGCCAGAGGGATGGTTGGGTACATGACCAGAGGAGCTTTGACAGTGATAATAACCAATGAGCCCGACCACCAAAACTGGCAACCAAAGATGGATAAGTGGCAAGAGTAAAAGTATGAAAGAGAAGCACTTTTCAGTGGAAAAAGGAGAAATATTGTGCTCCGAAAAAAAAAAGATAAACTGCTTGAAAAAAGAGAAACCGACTCTTTTATCAATTGAAACCAAAATCAAGGGATTTTTTAGAGTGTCGTCAGTAGCTTAAGTCCTTGTTTGGCAAAATGGAAAAATCCCAGCATTGCAAAAAACAAATTATCCACAGACTGTTTCCTGTTTAGTCTCACAGCATCTGTCAGTGTCCGAAATTACAAAATAAAAGCTCTTTTTCTCAAGAGGAGACGTGTCTCGACCAAGCCGGCTCCTTTCTCTGTCTGACTCCCTCTAACGCACTCGAAGGGGAAAGAGGGCAACAAGCGAGCATGTCGGGAACTCACATACACCTCATATCCAGAGGAAATCTCAACATTTCCTGTGCTCTTTTCCTCTACTGTCTCCTGGTTGTTTCCTACATCTTTGCCTCTCGATTTGCCAGTACATTCTCTGCCTCACTCCACCTCTCTCTCTCTCCTTTTATCCCTCTATTTTACTCTCCGTTTGAACATTTTATGGGCTGATTTTAACTGTCAAAGCTTTTTAAAACCAGTGCAGCAAAAAAATCTTAAACTTTTAAACGTATTCTTGTTGAAGAAAACATGTGACTGCATTAAAAACTGTATAGGAACTGTAACAATTTGCGGTGTTACTGATTAATCTGTGCTTGTTTAACATGAAATGATTATGCTACAGATTTCATACAGAAGTGAAATTGGCTCCAAAACCTAAAAAGAGGAACTTATCTATGAACTCATACATGCAGATCCCACACTCAACTTGGCCATCAAATTCAAGGACTTGTCAAGGACTGTCAGGGTCTTTACAGAGGAAAAGACATGACCTAAGACAGAACAGTCCCCGAGGCGTGGTAGGCCGATCAAGATCAAGTCAGGTCAACAAATCCCAAGGTTTTCTTTGGAGTGAGAGAGCTTAATTTAAAAACATAAAAACCTCAACATCTAAATGTGTATTCTTTGAATCTGAACACGTTCAAGAGATTTTAAGATCTCAAGATTTTAAGAATTCAAAAAGCCAAGTCAACACATCATCACACAGATGCATGAAGAGCAGCACATGCTCAGTGAGAGGGTGCCACCTGCAGACATAATGCAGGGCATACACACCCACACCGCGAAACAATAATATGAGGACACGAGATGATAAAAAAAATACTCTGCCAAGTAACCTCCGTGCTAGCCTTTTTTAATTTTCTACACATCCTTTAAATGTGATGAGCTGTGAGCAGAAGACGTGATGCAGCAGTTTCTGAGAGCGTGTTCAGCTCTGAAGCAGATCCAGTATCAGATCTCAGCCAGTGAGGAAAAACCTGCAGGCGACGTTTCATGGTGCATCATCACTTCTTGTCCGGTGAGACAGGACACGGCTCAGAGTGTGTGACTGTCGACTTACAGGAGCACGTCTCCTTTATTATTCACGTGAGCGGTGGAGCATCACACTGTAAATATAAAGTGCAAGTATATGAAATATAAATAAAAAAATTTAGAAACGATATAAGAGCTCGTTCATAAACTCTGTCAGCTAGTGTCACTGATTTGATCCATTCCAGTCTAGACAACATGCACATCACAAACACGTGTGTGTGTGTGTGAGACACACTACAGGAGCTGACCTATATCACACAGGGAAACTATTGTGCAGCAATATTGACAAAGTGTCATGAGTTCATGACACATTTACACCGAGTTAGAAATCTCTGCGTCTTCTGTATGTACACTGGGCTGTATTGTAGTCTGCTGCAGCCCAAATGAAATACTGCAGGAGAAAGCATGGAAGCGAAAAGACGGACCAGAGAGGACAAGGGATGAAACATGGGAGGTGTGTGAGAGAGAGAGAGAGAGGGGGTGAGGGGCCCAGAGGATAAACTCTGCTGAAAGAGCAGTGGTTGTAACTATAAACACAGCCATGCCCTCCCGGAGACACACACAATCTTTTAAGCCCCACATCAACTTCATATGAACTTTCAACACTTTTTACAGGAGAAGAGAAAAAGTTTTCACATGTTCATTTGGTCACCTGAATATTATTTAGATCATGAAACTATCCTTCCTAAAAATGAAGCGGTTTACCTCGTGGGGACTGGCTTTTTGGAGGTTTGCACCCCGACAGCCTCCATCATCACCTCATCTCTTCTTTCCCTCTATCCACCTCTCTCTTTCTTTCTCTCCCTCTCTCAGCCTCGTCTCTCTCTCTCTCCGCCCCACCCCACACAGACTGGAAGCCATGAAAGACGACTGGCAGAGGGTGTCCAATAATAACCTCTCAGCTGTTACAGAGAAAGAGAGGTTTGTGACATCCCAGTCTTACACAAACACACAGTTTGCTCTTTGTACATGAACTTTATCCTTAAATCTTTATCTCTTCTTCTGACTCTCTCGCTCTTACCCAGACTTCTCTTTCAGTCTCCCGACCTCCTTCTCACACATGAACACACACTCCCTCCCTCCATACCTTCATAGATGACTTGGCAGTAGGCATCACTGATGTCGTCGTCCGGCGTATGCAGACGCTCTGCACACAGAATAAACACACGCAGCATGGCTCACACACACACACACACACACACACAGCAGAGCTCTGTCAAATCCCCCCGGCAGACACCATGAGGTCCATATATGGGCGTCAGTGTATCCAAGAAATATCCTTAAAATGAGAATAGATCAATAACAGGAAGAGAGAGAGAGAGAGGGGAACAAATGGACGAGAGGAAGAGAGAATGAATTAAGACTAAGAGAGCGACTGTTAGAGCTGCAGCTCTCAGCTGTTGTCCTCGCCCCCCAACTCTCTCTCTCTCTCTCTCTCACACACACTCAGGGCAAGCAAGGTGCACTGGCTGACTCATGCACAACACACACACACAGTCCCTTCAATCACAACTGGCTTAAAGGGCCAGCAACACACACGCGCACACACACACACACACACACA